TGATTAATATAAAATATATTCTAAAAAAGTAATTATTTTTATTACTATCTGTAAATAAATATAATGAGTTTTTTTTTAGTCGGATTCTTACTCAGTTGGTTTACTATTAACATTGCTTGACAACTACTTAATTTTGAAAGAAATAGTAGGAGCTACATTCATAAATATGACTTTAGAGTAATATGACGAGCCTTTCAAAAAATAAAACATAAATATTAAGCAAAACACTGAAATATTTAAATTTATTAAACTTTTAGTTGTATGGGAAAGAGTCAGAAGAGCTTCTCTTTCTATCATTGTTGAATAAAATTCAAAAAAATTTAAATCAAACTAAAGTGAGATGAAATAAATTATATCATAGCATTCTTTAGATTCAAAATAAAATGCTGAAACTGTAAACATCGGATCTACTGCTCCATTAATTTCTTAAAATTAGATTCCAATTTAAGATATCAAGTAGATTAAGATAGAGAGTATGAAGGATTTGTATAAAATTACAGAATTTCATTATGTCGAAATATATTTAAGGTAATTATATTAAATTTCATTTAAATTAAAATTAAAATATCCAAAAATTATTGCTTAAGAATTCAAATAAAAGATTTAATTAACATTTTATTTTTAAAAGAAATTATAAATGATTTAATATTTAATCATTTATGATGGATTCTTTCTTTCTATAAAAAGTTAAAAACATTTTAAATTAAAGATAAAATTATTATCTATTATTACAATTTGTAATAAACAAATAAGTTTTATTATTTAGTTTATTAAAAAATATTTTGGGGTGGTTAGTAAAAATTGCAAATGCAAAAAAATCACAAAAACATAAAAATAATTAAAAAATGGTAAAAAATTTTGATAAATTTATAAAATCTAGCCCTCAAATTAAATATTGGTTAAAATAAAAGTTGTAAGAAAAAGGTATATTTGAAACTTAAAATAAAAATTATCTCATTTATAATAGAGTGTTTGTCATTTACTAACTTGCTTATTTACTTATTTACTTACTAACCAAATAAAATATAACGAATTTCTTTACCTACTTACTCATCACAACACAACTAAAATACTAACGAAAGCCATCGTTTTTTTACCATCCTTTCTCCTCCATATTTATTTATTTAATTCGTTATTTATTCTTATATTTAAAGTTCGAATAAAATTAGTGATGAAGGTGCAAAAGATTTAGGCACAGGAATAGCATAGTGCAAGAATATCACAACTTTGACGCTTAACTTACAGTAAAAATTTAATTTATTGATTGATAAACTAATAATAGAGAATGGAATATTTTAAGCTTTTGACATATTTATTAGCTAATTAAGCCAGCTTGCTTGTCATTTACTAACTTGTTTAATTACTTATTTACTTATTAACCAAATAAAATATAACGAATTTTTTTACTTACTTACTCATCACAACACAACTAAAATACTAACGAAAGCCATTGTTTTTTTACCATCCTTTCTCCTCCATATTTATTTATTTAATTCGTTATTTATTCTTATATTTAAAGTTCGAATAATATTGGTGCATATGGTGCAAAAGATTTAGGCACAGGAATAGCCTAGTGCAAGAATATCACAACTTTGACGCTTGAATTATTGTAAAAATTTAATTTATTGATTGATAAACTAATAAAAAATAGAATATTTTAAGCTTTTGACATAGTTATTAGCTAATTAAGCCAGCTTGCTTGTCATTTACTAACTTACTTATTTATTTATTTACTT